CAGTGAATTCCTGGAATTTAGCTGTGGCCGACTTCCCTGGTAAGGGTTTTCGGCAAAGGGATGACACAGACAGCGTGACAGATCCGAATGGAAGCTCGGAAGCAAACACCGTTTGAGACGGCGGCGAGTTGCGCGTATGATAAGTCGAGATGCTGGAGAGCCTCCAGGTACCACTGAAGGAGGACGAGAAAATCTGGCATATAATGTTGGGATTGGCCAAAGCTGACCAAGCAGCGGCTGTGGTCACTGGGAACCCTTGCAAGTTCGCATGCGTACTGCTTATCCTGCAGGTGCTAGAGGACTGTGACGATCATTGGACTCCGGTTGCGAGAACAGAGCCCATAAAGACAAAACCCGCATGCGAGGTCATCTTCCTGAGACGAGCTCAGAATGTACCCGGATGCCATGACCGGCTGGACCGCAGGGAGTGGACTCAACCAGACGAACGGGAAAATCAACGACAAGATGTAAGAGAGATGATCCAACCGCGCAAAACGAAAATAGAAGCCCGGGTAAGATGTTTCTAATGTGACCGAAAAAGGAATTTTGCGCGGAATTGAATCTCAAGAAAAAATGAGGAACTGAGAGCGCTACCTCGTCAGGGCAGAGGTGGCATTACTGAAGGAAAGAAGTTCCCCAAACTGATCCTTTAATTTAGATGATGACGTTTGTAGTTGGGCTGGGCCAGATCATTGCCATTATTGACTCTGAGTCTACCGTAAGTGCAATTAGGCGGGGCTTCGTTGAAAAACGATACAAAAAATGGTGGCATTGGGTGGACTACGATGTGCAGATAACAGAGTCGTTATATCCGCCTATGGAGACGAGCTGAACATGAGCGTGAAAGGTAAAGGGACAACTCTGACAGAAGTAGCAGTGATGGAAAACATCCAAAGTGATATGAACATTGGGTTGGATCGAATGGTGGCCGTGGAGTGGCGATATCGATTGGTAAGGAAGGTACTCATCTTCAAGTGGGCAACGATAAAAAAGATGAGCCGGTCATGGCCGACCAAAGCAACAGACTTGACGTACCATTGGAACACGCGGTTGCAGTAGATGGGCGGCAAGATTCAGGTCCTGAGGAAGG